AAATAAATATAATCCCCCTTTTAAACCCTTGGTATTTATGTGGGTTTTGTTATCAAGTCAAATTATTTTACGGGAAAGACAAAGAGCCTGGCTCTTTTTGGGCTACTTACAGAGCCCCTAGTCTAAGAGTCCCTAGGCCTCTGGCAAGGTATTGTTGTTCAGTCGCACAGTCGAGTCCGACTCTTCGCGACCCCATGGACAATCTCCCGCCAGGCTCTCCTGTCTTCCGCCGTCCTCCGAAGTTGGCTCAATTTCATGTTCGTTGCATCGCTGACACTGTCTAACCATCTCATCCTTTGCCGTCCCCGTCTTCTTTGACCTTCAATCTTTCCCAGCATCAGGGTTTTCTCCAGTGAGTGCAAACATGTCTTTCAAATGCCGGGAAAGATGCCTGGCTTTAAAGTTTGATGCGAACGTATCAAGCAAGCTAGTACTGTGAAAGGGTCATTATGGCTCCTGATTCTGCCACTTTCTCCAGATACTTGGTGACATATCTCTGCAGGTCTGCTATTGGTTCACTGACTTCAGCCTTTGAGAAGTTCCTGGTGGTGATGCACTGTGCTAAAACTGATGCTGCTTTTGGAAGAGCAGTTCTTCAGAGCCTGTTTCTTCAAGACGACCTGCAGATAACATCAGGTACATGGCTCCCTAGTCATCAAATCACCGCAGACTGTGACTGCAGCCATGAAATTAAAAGACGCCTGCTCCTTGGGAGGAAAGCGATGGCGAACCTAAACAGCATGATAAAAAGTAGAGACATCACCCTGCCAACAAAAGTCCGCATGGTCAAAGCAATGGTATTCCCAGTAGTCATGTATGGCTGTGAGAGTTGCACTATAAGGAACCAAGTGCCAAATAATAGATTCTTTTGAACTATGGTGCTGGAGAAGACTCTTGAGAGTCCCTTGGACTGCAAGGAGATCAAATCAGTCAATCCTAAAAGAAATCAACTCTGACTGTTCCCTGAAAGGCCAGATAATGAAACTGATGCTCAAATACTTTGGCCATCAAATGAGAAGGGAGTACTCACTGGAAAAGACCCTGATGCTGGGAAAGATTGAAGGTCAAAGAAGATGAGGACAGCAAAGGATGAGATGGTTAGACAGTGTCATAGATGCAGCTAACATGAAATTGAGCAAACTTCAGAGGACGGCGGAAGACAGGAAAGCCTGGCGTGATCTGGTCCATGGGGTCGTGAAGAGTCGGACTCGACTGTGCGACTGAACAACAAAAACATTGGCAAAACACTGGATGATTAGTTTGTATGGCTACGCAGCTTTGAGGCTAGGAACCTGAGATGAAAGTCTCAGAAGTTGTTGGAGAAAAACAGACATAAAAGAGACACACCAACGTTCCTGGTTGTGTAGAGAAGAGGGAGGTGATTCCTCATCCCTTTCGTTCCTTAATGTAAGGATTCCACCTGAAGTGAGAATTTTTATGGATGCTCTTGATATTGGCCTGATCCAACATTGGCTTCTCTTCTGTTCTTATGATATGCCATGCCTCTGGTGTACGCTCACTTCCCATCATGCCAGTTGAGGGAAAAGGGCATATTTTTATTTTGGGTTACTTTATAGAGACATATTTCTCTGACTACCTAGGGATTTCCCAGATATGTAGAAACCCTTGTCTGTGGGTGGCCTGGTTTTGCCGCTTTCATGATTGGCAAAAGCCACCCACTTTATTATTAGATATAGCAACGTTACTCTGCTTATTTTGTGAAGTCCTCTAATTAGGTGACTGACTTTGTATATGTGGTGGTGGCAATAATCACATCGGATAATGAGACCCACGTTGGTACAATCTGTAGCAACTTGGGCATAATGGATGGGTGTCGCTGATTGCTCTAGATTTTTAGAGAGTACTTTTCTATGCAAATGTAATAGGCTATGTTTTGCTGTTTCCCACATTTTTCCTTTCCTGGCAGGCTATGTTTCAGCAGTCCAACCTTTTTTCCCTATCCTGTTTGCACGGCAGCTGGCTCTCTGATCCCCACATCAGCTCTCATGCCAATTCTTCATGTTCTTCATCATGTTAATGAAAGCCCTCCCTAAGCTGAACACTTGCTATTTCTTAATGTTTAAGCTCCTTTACTTAAACCGTATCTTGAAGGCTCAACATTGTGTATGTGGGAAAGACAGTATTACCAGCCACTATGCTATGCCTTGTGATGAATTAAAACAGCAGAGCAAAATGTGTTCCATCCATAAACTTCAGCAGATGTTCTGAATTCTGGTTGATTTGTTGCATGTCCAGATTGGATTTGAAAAAACAAAACTGTATTCAGTATAATGGGATATGGTTTATTTAATAAAGCTTTACAGAGTTTTTTTATGGCTTTATTGCAGTTTGAAGGGTGCAACAAAGCATTTTCTCGGCTTGAAAACCTTAAGATCCACCTGCGGAGTCACACGGGTGAGAAACCTTATCTTTGCCAGCATCCTGGCTGCCAGAAAGCTTTCAGCAACTCTAGTGACCGAGCTAAGCATCAGCGAACACACCTGGATACCGTAAGCATGATGTTATTCTATGTGGTGGTGTATGAAGCACAGTCTTTCTAATGGGACTATATTTGAAATCAGCACAGGCCTCTTCCATTTATATGAGACATCATAATACTCTCCAGTGGGAAGTGATAATCAAGGATGAGCTTAGTTTGCCTGTTTTTAAACCCTTCTAGAAAGACAAAGGAGGAAATATTAGTAACCTCCAAGATGTTCTGCTTGTATTTTATGGGGAGGTTTTCTGGAATTCCTATAGGGTGACTCCCAAAGATCTTGCTGCCATGAATGTATGTCAGGAGCTGTGCATTACCACTTCTTCTCTTTTCCATAAATGGAAGAAAATAAATAGAAATGCTACATAGTTGTATTATTAATAATGTTAATTTGCTTATGAATTTGTGCATCTTCTGACACTCACATTGATTGAAAAGGCACAGTTGGAACCTTCTATTCTAGGCATCGCTTATTGGAATTCTAGTATGATTCTCCTTATTAATGTCCATCTGTATAAGGAATGCTTTGTTGGGTAGCTGATACAAATGTTAGTTTGACAATGGTTAATCAGTGCATCAAAATCCAGAAATCATTGCCCTTGCATCAATTAAATCCTTCCTTAACCAGCCCTCCAGTTAAGATCCTCTACTCAAGCCCTGCTCAGAGGTGAGGTGGGTGGCATCCATAAGCAGGACATTTTTGGTAGTGGCACCTCCCTTGTCTATGGCATTCCCGTCCCCTTGAAGCTTGACTGGCAACTACACTACTTTCTTTTGGGCACCAGGCCAAAATATTCCTTTTTAATCAATCTTTTAATTAAGGGCTATTTTTTAACATCATTATATGGTCTGCTCTTTGCGTATGAACTGTATTAGGGCTTGTTTTAAGCTGTTCAAGGTGACAAAGAAATTTTCTAAATAATTAATAATGTCTTGGCAGGCAAAGAGGTGGAGTGCATTCCTCCCATAGGCTACTGTGTAACTGATGTATACACTGGTGGGTTTTGTGTGTGTTCTATGGGCACAAAATTGCAGATATGTCCACTGATAATTTCTGTGGATGAAAGGGATTTCTCTGCATGACACACAACATCCTTTCCTCTTGCTCTCATTGCAGTCCCAAATGCCTCCTGAAATGCTGCCTCTGGGGGACATGAGACCCCCATAAGCAGCATAAGAGGTCTGTAGTGGGAGGAAGAATGAATGAAAATCCCCCTGGTGGGGACTTCAGTGACCTCCGGGATCCTCAACTCGGAGGGGATCCTGGGAGGCTCCCTCCATTTCCACTCACCAGAGCAGCAACACATGTGGTGCCTTTAAGGGATTGGCCCTCAAACAGCCCATTGCCTGGGAGGTAGCCTTGAGCCAGGGGTGGGGAAAATAGGGGATGAGTCACAGCAGAGAGGCAGAGAACAAAGGTGAAGGTAACACCCTTCCCTGAGATCTGTGGGAGGCATAGATCTACCAGACTTAGGCAGGTCTTCTGCATCCCCCCTTCCATGCATGGCAGTCCAGTGTATGCAGGCCATATACTCTAGGAGAAAGTAATAGTGATGCAGTTACTAGATTTCCTTCCTGAATACTTTGTTGCCATTAATGCACATGTATATTTGATATGATGAAGAATTATATGTTATTTTTTCTTTCCATCCTCACAAACACATAAAATAAATACCGTTAAGCAGTACAGCTACATTCAGATGCTCTATTGATGTTTTTATGTTGGCAACCACCACAGGGTAAACATGGCTTTCTTACAATATGACCAGGATTATATGGAAGCCTTTGATACAGTTCCTTGTATTTGTTACTATATGCAGGGTGTAGTTCTTTAATCATATGTTACTTTCTTGATCTCACAGGTAGTAAAGGGAAAATGGATAGAACTAGTAAAATGGCAATTTACCCAATCTCCTCTCTGTGGTCCATAGGAATATACAGTAAATTCTGTTATGTCATATGCAGTAACTGAGATGTTGGCAGGAAAGTAATTGCTGGCAAATAGTTTTGGTATTGCTAGCAGGGGTCAGTTCCTGCAGGAGCGCACAGGAGTGGAGCTTTGGCAGTAAAGAGCCCAGGGGGCAAGCCCTACCCCCTGCTCCCAGCAGTCCTCAGTCAGAGCAAGAAGTAGCCAGGTAAGTTGCAGAGCTCCCCCCGGCACCCCGGTCTAAAACAGTCAAGTGGCACCTTTAAGACCAAGTTTTATTCAGGTACAAGCTCTCCCTCCTCTGCAAGGACAGATCTGCATGTTCCCCCCCCCCCAATATCTAGCAATCCAAAACAGACCAGTGGAGCCTGAGTGGTGGGTGTTGCCTTCTGACACACTTCCAGTGATGTCGGGGGTGTGGCATATGCAAATAAGTTATGCTAATGAGTTATGCTGATGAGCTCCTGCACCTCTTTTTCTACGAAATGACCCCTGATTGCTAGCATGCTAAAATACTACTGCATCAACATCTACAAGTAAATGGATGGTCCAATGGATCGCCACAGGTTCCTTTTACTGCTGCTTTGCCATGCAGTTAATGTGATTTAATTGCAATGAAACCTTTGTACGCCTTTGGAAATCTTTCCCTGTACACAAAGATCTTGGCTGTTGTCACTGTGGTATGTCACCGTTCGGGAATGTGAACATTCCATTAAAAAGTTCCACAGTTTTAACTAATAGGTTGTAAATGTAAGCCCATGATTTGAAATTAAAAAATGTAGTTTGTTAAAATATAACACATAGCAGTGTTTGATGCCTGCATATATATACTTCCTCTTTCTTCATCCCACCGACCTGTGCATTCACCAGCTCTTTCTTTGTCCCACAATGTAAACTGAATAAATTGCAGTCTTCTTCTGGCCTGTTTGTTCCTTAGGAAGACGTTTCTGGTTTATTAGCCAAGGAAGCAAAAAAATTAAAGTGACTATGCTTTGCTTAGACACAAAGCTACCAAGCAGAATCTTAAAACTGTAATTGAACATGATACTGCCCACATAAGCACAGCTGAAATGGGACTTCACAAGTAATGGACCTGATTCTCCAAACAAGTTTTATGCTGTCTGTTATATACTTTAGTGCTTTGAACCCCAATGGATTGCTTGTGTTGGTTTAGTCTCCATTGCCCCTTTCTTTTCTCCTAGTCGTCAAGGAACACTGTTTTAGTGCTATAGATAAAGTGTAATTCAGATTTCCCAAAGCACACATACGAAACACTTGGATAATCAGAAACTCAGATAAACAGAGTGTTGGAAACAGGGTTACATTGACACAGAACTGCCACAGAAAACTCAGTGACCTTGGCTTTCGGGCTTGTCTTTGGAATCCAGGGTTTGGAGAATAGTTATTTTACTGATATGTCCAGGTCATATTAGTCTCTCCTATAAACCCACCCCTGGAAGCATGCATACTCCTTAGGTCTTTTACTCTTTTGGTCCAAAGCTCATAAAGAACAACAACAAGAGTCCTTCCTTTGTCTTTTCAAAGAGGTGAATATGCGGTTTAGCGTGTGACCGGGTGTTTATGGGGCAGAAACCTGGCAGTTAATTGATATTTACTTTTCAAGCAGCTACACATTTCAGACAGTGCAGCATTAAGGAATGTGTAATGTATATTATGCCTTGCAAAAACAAACAAGTCGAAGAAGCCAGTCACATTTTCCAAACCCAAGCACACTTACAATAACAATGTTTTATTTATTTGAAAGTCAGCTTTAGCAATTTGAATTTGTAATTACTTCTAAAATGTGGCTCTTTTGAAACTAAATATGCTGTATAGGATGCACCTTTTTGAAACATAACTATTTAACGTTAATGTAAATAGAATACGGTGTTGGGACAGACAAATTTGGCTCACCAATCAAGAATCATTTTGTAGACCTTGTGGTGTACAAAGAATGAACTCCCTCTTTGTCTTGGTATCTCTTGATACAGGTGTTATGGCAAAAAAAACCCAACCCTTTAACTCTAGTCTCTTTTTTTCCTGTTTCTTTCTCTCTCTTTTCTGCTGCCTGTCCCTTTTTACTCTCTGAAATATTCATAAACAGCAAAAAGGTACAGTAATAATTTTGACTGACATTTTTTCTGTGGTGACCCTGCTATATATTCTTTACTTTTCATTCTATTCACTGCCTGCATTCATCTGTTTCTATAACTTATCTTGTTAATTTGCCCAGTACTTTAAAAATTTTGTGGTGTTTTAGTGTATTTCTTTTCTTTTTTTGGTGTATGAAATTAGAATGGGTTAGTGTGCATGCTGCCATTAGTATTCCAAATGCATGTAATAGAAGGCCTTCAGTTTGTAAAGCAAACTCTGATCCCCTTTATATGCCTGCTGTGTAACCGAATCATGTGTGAAAGTAAGATTGAAAAAGTTTGGGGCTAGCATGGATGAACTTTTTTTGTGATCTAGTTTCCTCGTCCTTAATAATGTGTTACCATAGCTGGGAAAATACTCTGCCCGGCTAGTTCCACTAAGGAATTGTATAATGGTTTCCATCATCCTTCCTCAAGTTTCGGTTCTCTGTGTGTTCCAGGCACTTTCAATAAATTGACTTTCATATACAAGTTTCTGGGTACATATCAGGTTAGCCTTTGGAGCCTTGAGGTGGTGAATGATCTTATTATTCCTTTGGAAATTTCCTGCTGGTACAAGGAGCAAGACTACTTATTCCTCTGGAGGCACCTACAAAGAAAAAGGATTTATATGGACTGCTTAGTTCTTATTGAATGCATGTGGAAGTGATTTGGGATCCCAAATGCAGGTCACACTGTCATTTATCTTCTCTGAAAGGAGAATCTGTAAATAATTACAAAGACCTGTTAGAATGTGCTGTTTTGATTGAATAGCAGATTATTAGGTTAGGGCTACGTGTAAAGCAGTCCTGGAAACTGGATTAGAATCTACCCTAAAGAAGGAATACCACCAAAAAGACTATGGCTGCCTTTGCGTTGTTGGCAAGATTGACTAATAATGTCCTAATCTAAAATTATTAAACTTTGTTTGAAAGGAGCACTGCACAGCAAGCCCCTCCCCCCGGAGGTCTTTAGCGGAAGACACATTAAGGTTGTGTTTTTTCCTCACCATTTTACATCTCTAATATCTAAGCTCAGTTGTCTGAATTGTGGGATGACCAAAGCATATGGCAGCAGTAAGCAAGGTATATCGTACCAAAAGGAGCAGCAATAAATGCAAAATATTTTAATACAATTTGCTCTGTGCTCAAAGTACTACAGAAATGGGGCCAGTCAGATCAGGGGCAGGTGGCTGGAGCTTAGGCGTTGGTTCATATATTGGGTGGAGCCCATTCTGTAAAGTACTAGGCTGCTGACTGGCGAAAAGCCTAGCCAGGGTTTCCATGAAGGTGCCAGTGCTGTCACATGGGAGCTTTCTCCAAAGAAGAGTTGCCTAACTGAAGCTTTCAGTATTATGCGCAGAAAAAGTGCCTCTTCAAATCAGGACAAGGATGATCTGTTATAGTATCTCTTGGGTACTGGGTTTTTTTTTAAAAGTGTTGACGCCCATAGAATTTCAAGGTCTGATATAATTCTTTTCAGTGCATTTTCATCCAATCCCAGGCCACCCAGTCTAAAAACATAAGTGCCTAGAACTGTGAAGTACTTAGAGCATTTGCACTGAGTTTAAAGTGGTTGCTGCAATAGATTATTTTATTTTTATTGTTTGGCCAGGCCTGTTATATACTGTTACATTTTTTAAAACAAGAGTTTTTAAGTTGAGGAAGCAACTTAAAGCTTTGCAATATGTTTGCACATTGCCAACAATCTCTAGATGTTTCATGTTCTGAACATAACAGTTCATATCTTCAGGTCAGTGTTTCCAAAGCAGACATCCTGTATTGTTTTCCTTTCCACATGCTCACAGAAACCATATGCCTGTCAGATTCCTGGGTGCTCTAAACGCTATACTGACCCAAGTTCCCTTCGAAAACATGTGAAAGCTCATTCTGCCAAAGAACAACAGGTGCGTAAGAAGGTAAGCCCCTCAGTCCAGTGATTTCAAGTGCTCAACCTGAAGCGTTTAATGAGACAACAGGGTTTTTTTTTAAGGAAGCTTAATTGCATTGTTGTTATGAGAAAAATAGTCTGGATTTTAGTAGTGTAGTGACTTTAAGGTGTTCAACACACTACTTCACTGGCTATTTTCAGGCAAGATAAAATTGGCCTGGCCTAATCAACATCAACTATTTAATCAGCCCCTGATCAATCCTGTAGTCCAATCTAATTAAACATAAACAAAAATTGTGGTATCCAGAAGGAGACTCGTAGCAATGAGATTGCCAGGTGTCCTGTATTTTCACTGACTATCCAGGAAAAAAAACCAGTCATTTAAATGTCTGGCATATTTGAGACAAGATATGGGCTCTGTGAGAGCTCTCCTGGTGGCACAGCCAGAAGAGAAGACAGCCGGGCCACCGCTTCCCTTGCTGTCAAAAGATTGCTGTGGGTCTGGAGAAGGAGGCCAGTGGGTGAAAGATTTGTTGGGGCAGAAGTGCATGCTTGGCACCACCTCCTCCAAGCCCAAACTGTGCATGAAGCAGCAGCCATGGTGGCTGTGGAACAGCCGCAATCCAGGAGGAGGCTGCAAGGCCCAATCAGGGAAGCCTCCCCTGGGCCTTGCAGGGTCCTCTTGGGTTGTGCCTTGCACTAAGGCTTGGTACTCCTCCAAGCCCAAACAGCGCAAAGCACACCATTTGGTCGTGGAGGAGACAGTGCTTGGTCTCGACTCAGCCCAACAGCATGTCTGGTATTTCTGTTGAAACCATCTGGCAACCGTGAGCAGCATCTGAGTTTCTTCTAGAAAGGGCAGGAATGGGATGGACTATGCTCCAAAATACCCAGCCTCCACTACTGCTGGAAAATCAGTCAGTCCTAGACTTTTTTCATTGGTGGTGAGTCTCCAGTTATTTCAATCAGTTGATCAATTTTCTCTTTCCTTTTTGTTGATTTGTATATATTCAGTGGACAGATTCTATCTGCTCATACATCAAATATGTCACTTTAAATAATATTTTCAATTATAGAATTGTGGTCTCAGCAGAAGTCTAAAAGGAATCTAGTAGTGCATGAAGGATGCTTCCAAAGGATAGGAGAATTCCATGGAAAATTAGCCATTTTAAAAGTGGAGTACATGTCAGTTAAATCCAGTGTATCAAGATTTAATGTCTCGAGAAAAAAAGCCTAAAGAAACTAGAACTATTTTATGACCTCTTAATATGACCTAGTCACCATCTAAGCCTTTTTTTTTTAAACTGTGGGGTGTTTAAGCTCAATGTGACATTTATCACTGTTCTCCATTTGAAGGCCACTACAGGCAGCTTTCCCCCAATTTGGATCAGGGCCTCATGGGGAAGACAGAGGGTGTTAGTCTCTTCTATCCCAATATGGTTTTGCTAACTGACCACTCTCCTGTGGGGTTATCCTTCTTTGGATGAAAAAATAATGGTATCTGTCTTTTGGCTGTCCTTTTTCTTTAAAGGGTTATAACAGGGTTATAACAGCATACCAAATTTGTGACGTTGTGTGATGGTGAAAGGGTTAACGTCTGTCCCACCTCCAGATCAGAGCCCCAAACAGCTGTAGTCCAGCTCACTGCTGTCCCCGTATCTTGCCCATTTGAGCCCTGTGGTGCCTCACCAGTGATGTCTAAGTTGCTCTTAATGTGGCTTTAAAGCAGTCCATAAAGCAGACAAGGCCAGTCACCTGATCATCACCTTGGATCCCAACTGATAAATGCCTGGGAAAGACCCACAAAATTGGTTCTCATCTATAGCTTGTTGGGCCTTTAATGCACCATCAACAGCACTGGCACAGCCAAAAATGGATAGGGTGAGATTATTCTCACATTTAAAGACATACAACATCATCATCAACAACAAAATTCAATGCTTTATTTATCCCTAGGATTGCCTGCCCTCCAACTGCAAAGCTTTGGGGAGGATGGAGCTGGGGGAGGGAGAACATTTTCCTAGAATGTTGCAGGAGAGGCATATATTCTGACTTTACAAGTATATGGTCCTGTATATTTAATTCCTGTCTTTACTCAGACAAAGTTGCATCAAGGTGCCGTTAAGAGAACAAAATGGTGGTTTGGTAGTAGTTCAAAGCTTTATTGGCTTGCAGTTATGATCCAGATTTTTTAAAATACAAAAACAAACTGCCTGTAGGACAGAATGCTAAACTGATTTGAGTAACTGAGCCTAGGGGAAGGCGGAATGCAAAACTGTAAACTTCAAAACAACAGCCATGTATTAATGGTCTCAAAATAAGATGACTGTTTCTGTGAAATTTAAGCCCTGTTATGACACAAGTTTGGCAACATCAGCATGTTTACAAGATAAACAGAAATGCTTTTCTTTCTTAATTCTTCTCTCCCACTGCTTTTAATGCGATTGACATTGTGGTTCACAGAGGGCATGCTTCAGACACTTTTGCCAGTGCATTAATTTACATGGAAAACAGCTGACACATCAGCAGAACCTCTGACACATTATTGACAGATCACCATTTTTCTTCTCCTATCAAATGTCTTTCCAACCATTGCCGTTACAAATGCAATTTTTCAAATAGTGGAACCCAAGATTCTGGGAGGAGGGAGGAAGAGGAGCATAGCTAAATTAATCCATAAAAGTGTGTGAAGCACAATGACACATTATTTTTCTGAGAACCAAAATGTTGCTGATTTAAGATTAGTATGCTTAATTTGCGTGCTCAAGAAAACCCAAGCAACTTCTAATGAAAATCACTAAGCACCTAATATATCTTCAGTTACTCCAGTGCTAGCAACAATGACATTTTGTTCCTTCTTTCTATATATCAGCTATAAGCAGTGCAACATATGCACCCAATTAGCAGCACTTTAGTTCTTCACTTTGAAATGAAAATCTCTTTGCTTTGTCCTGCCACTGTAGCTCCATTCATGCTCTGATGTTGAACAAGACATATTAAGTGAGTGCTTAGCTATGCAGCAGCTCCACCCTTCCTCGCAGCACATCTTGGATGGGAAATGTGGGCGATCGATGGGCCACCATGACCTAATACCAGGTGAGAAAATTCTTCATAACAGTGGTGCAGAATGTGCCCTCCAATATGGTGCTATGGAGAACCCGGACTGAAATCCTTAATCAGCCAGAAAACTCATTGAAGGAGCAAACTCACCACCCTTCAGCCCACCACACGTCACTGGTTGCTGAGAGAATACAATGCTACTCTAATCTTTTTGGGAGAAAGGTGAGATAGGCCAGTTATACTTGTTCTTCCTGACTTGCCACCCGTGGCTCCAAATGAAAGCACTCTAACGGAAGCAACAAAAGCCAATTTTTTTAAAAAGAACCCTCCATGTGGAAGCAGACAAGGATATAAGGGGATGAGATTTAGTATTGGTTCAGGGAGAGCACTAAGGGGTTAAGCCACCAATTCAACTAAATTAAACGAACAATACACAAACTGAGTCAGTGCCTTGTGGGTGGGTACCGCAGCATTATGGGTGGGATGCCAGGCTGCCAGCAACTGTATGAGCTGGAACACAAAGAACTAAAGGAGTCCTCTTTCCAAGTTGGTAATTGGAACCAACAGGTGGTCTCAAACTGAGATAGAATTCCACATGGTAGAGTGCTTTAGAAATATGTTTGGGAATCAAAATTCCTAGGTAGTGTACATACTAGACTATACAAGCTTCAAAAAGTAGCATACAGTCAAATCCACTATATAATGCTTCCTTTTATCCCAGTTGAAAATACTTGTTTATGCTGGGTTGCTTTCTCAAAGAAACCACAGCATTAAGGTACAGAGTGCCGTGCCATTGGGATTACTTGGATTACCAAGAACCTTTTCCCCTAAACTAAAGCTGCAGCATATTTTTAATATGTCAAGGATGAAAGCGAACATATAGAGATGAATCGTTTTTCAAGTCTGCTATTCCTAGTGCTGAACTTCAAACCAGGCTTGTGTTTAGGCATGTGTAAGACAGTATATGAATATGCTCTGTAATCCACAGTGCATGGGACTCAAAATTCTTCATTTTTTTAAATCAATGAGAAAATATCAGTAAAGGATTACTGAAATCTCAAATTCTTAGCCATCATTTATGAAAAAATTTAAGAGCATGAGGACAGCTTTATTAGATCAGATCAATGGTAGATCTAATTCAGCATTCTGTTTCCAGCAGTAGCCAGCCAGTTACTGCTCGAAAGCTGAGAAGCAGGATATAAACAAACAGCTTCCTTAATTTCACTGTAGAAATTTCCTTATGAGAACAACATCTTGTTCATCTACAGAACCACTCTCTGTGATTGGCCATTTTTATTGCTATTTTTATTATACACATGGGAAACTAAGATGATGACTTCTCCAGATCTTGTCTATTAATTTGAGCTTTGGTATAGTATGAACACAAATCTTCCTTTTCTAAAACGATTTGCGGGCCATTACTGGGCCAGACAGGGCTGGTTCGAGGGTTTTTTGCAACTAGGCGAGGCTACCTTCCCCCCCCCCCCCCCCCCGTGCACCCACCAATTTTCAAACATAAATGCATTTTAGGAAGAATAAAAAACACAACAGTTGAAAAGGCTAATTTATTTTTTTTAATTGTGAGAACAAGTAATAATACAATCTCTAATTTTCTCTCTCCAACAGAAAAACACAAATCACAAAACATTTTGAAAAATCCTGTTAATTGTGATGTTGAAATTTAAGTCTCTTTAATGTTTCCATTTTAGGCACATCAGAATCTAATTTTGCATGCCTTTTCTTTAGCAAATTTTGTCACCAATTCCTTCAGGTCAAGCACTGATGCTTCAGCATATTCAATTGAAATAGTTGTCAGGAATACACTGCAACACAATCTGACCCTGGCAGTGTACAATCCATGATCTGGGCTGTATGTTTTGCAACACGGTTATTGTTTTTACTTAAGATACCAATATTAGCCATCTAGTTAAACAATACATCTTACAGAACGTGGTACTGACACTTTTCATTCATTTACACCAGAAGGACAACAAAAGTACTAGACCTTGCTACAATCGAGTTGCAACATGCAGGGCAGCCAGAGGCTCTTTGGAAAAATCAAATAAAAGCGACCAATCCAATCCACCCCCTATTATTTTTTGCTACGGAGGTGATGCCTCCAGCTTGTTTCGTCAGCCAGCTTTCCCAGAGCTACCTGCAGCTCCCGGCACTCATCCGCCTCCTTCAGCGCCCCCCCCCCCCCGGGCGCTCGGCCCGTGAGCGTCGAAGAAAACAAGCCAGACAGAGTTGGGGCACAAAAGCCAAGCCAAGCTCTACCCCGCAGGAAAGGGGCGCAGCAGAGCAGCCTCTCTGCTGGGCGAAGTCACAGGCGGTGGCGGTGTGGGAGTGAGGAGCAGGCAGGATTGCGGGGGTGTGGCTACTCCGCTGCCATCAGGGCTATGTGCACAGCCTGGCAAGAGCCAGCAGGGCTTTTGGGGAGACATGGGTGGGAGGGGCCAGGAGGGGAGGGGCAGCAGGCGAGCTCCTAAATCTGTCTATGGGTGGTCCGGACCTGGGGCCAGACTGACTCCCATTGTGGTGTAGGAACCCATAAGCCATGTAGCACCTTGCAGAGAGCTTATTTTTTGTTGCTTCCTCTATCTATGTATTTTCTGGAGTTGCATTTTTATCATTATTTTTGTAGCTACTTGGCAGAGACCCTGAAAAGCCTTTATCCCAGATGGTCTGTGATGCTAGCTTGGTAACAGATGTTAGGGCTAAAGGTTAAACCATTTAGATTTGATATATGACATGTTTTTATAAGCTGAAGTAGTTAACATGTTAAGAAGCCCAAGTCATCTTCTCCCAAGTCAGGATACATAGTAGGCAGACAAAATTTATGCAGCCTGTATGCAGCACAGTTCTCCCTGGTGATCATTCCTCATTTTAATGAACTTTAAGGAAGTAAAACAATCAGATGTTTTACATACAAAATTCCCAGGCTGTGATGTAGAGGCTTGCTCTTCCTCAGTGAGTTTTCTAGGATGGCAAAATAAGAGTTGGTGCACAATGCAGGGAGAATTCTTTTCTGACCAAGCTAACAGCAAAAATTGCATTGACTTCAGTGCTTGTGCTATTTTGACTATCGCAACGATCCCCAAAGAGACAATACAACCTAACATGGCTTCTCTTTGGAGATGAGTTAGCAAACAGTGGTGTGATAAGATGTGAATTTTAAAAACTCCAGTGTATAAAACCTTGAGAAGATAGTCTGTTACCCATAGGACCTCTTTTTATACCTTTTGAGGGGAAAACCTCTATCTTTGAGGCAAACTACATGATGTGTTTGGTCACTTGTTTACACCAATTTGTCCATGTTCCCCATAGCCACACAGCAGCTGTGGGAAACCACTTCTTTTTTAAAAAAGAAAAAAAGGAGAGCCGAAATAGGCTCGGAATGGCGCCATGGGAGGGAGAGGACTCCTGCCTCCCCCACCAAAGTTTTCTTGTGTGAAAACCATGCTGGGGAAAGTTTGCACTGATTTTGCTGCTGTATATGCACCGATACTCCACGTGGAGCAGCAAAATTGAAAAAACTCCCCTTCCTAGTATGGTTTTTGCATGAGAAAACTGCTTGGAAGGGAAGCAGGAGCCCGCCCTTATCCCCACAGCACTGTTCCAAGCCTGTTTCTGTTCTCCCCCCCCCCCTTTTTTAGAAGCAGTTCCCTGCAGCTGCTGTGTGGCTATGTGGAACATAGGCAAACTACTGTAAACAAGTGACCAACTCTGTGCAGTTGCCCTACATCATTTTACCAGGCAGTTGATATGCAAAAATATAGACCTGCTCATCTGCCCTATTTGGGGAAATTAAATGAGAGGGCAGTGGCAATTCAGTTACAGGGTTTTTTTGATGGCACCTCTGCATTAGACCCCTTCCAGTCCAGCTTCTGACCAGGCCATGGGACGGAGACAGCACTGGTTGCCCTCACGGACAATTTTTGGAGGCATCTGGATCAGGGTGGCTCAGCTGTGTTGCTGTTGTTAGACCTGTTGGCGGTGTTCAACACAGTTGACCACCAACTACTGGCCTGCTGCCTCACCGACATGGGGATTCAGGAGTCTGTGTTACAGTCGCTCTCCTTGTTTCTTCAGGGTCGGGGACAAAAGGTGGGGAGCAGCTGTCCCGAAGGCATCTGCTAGTCTGTGGAGTGCCCCAAGGTGCAGTGCTTTCACTGATTTTATTTAACATCTATATGCGCCCCCTTGCCCAGATTGCCTGGAGCCATGGGCTGGGTTGTCATCAGTATGCAGACGACACCCAGCTCTATCGTTGGGTCGCCAGTCTGACTCCAGGCCAGAAGATCTGGACCTGACGTTGAAAGCTGTGGCTGGTTGGCTTAGACTGAGCCAATTGAAATTGAATCTGATGAAGATGGAGGTCTTGTGCCTGAGTCAGAGTGGTCCTAGGGTAGGGATCTCACTCCCAACTTTTGATGGGGTGCCATTGGTGCTAGCGTTGGAGGTTAGGAGTCTGGGAGTGCTCCTGGATGCCTCCTTAATGATGGAGGCCCAGGTAGCAGCCACTGCAAAGTCAGCCTTTTATCATCTCTGGCTGATTAGGCAGGTGGTTCCCTTCATCAAACACAACGACCTGGCAACAGTGATCCATGCAATGGTCACCTCGAGATTAGATTACTGTAATGCTCTCTACATGGGGCTGCCCTTGTCTGAAATCTGGAAGCTGCAGCTGGTGCAGAATGTGGCAGCCAGGCTGTTGTTGGGCCTCCCCATGCAGGAGCACATCCAGCCTGCGCTAAAAACTCTGCACTGGCTGCCCATAGTGTACTAAATTTGGTTCAAGGTGCTGGTTCTTACCTTTAAAGCCCTATATGGCCTGGGGCCTGCCTACCTGAAGGACCGCCTTTCCCCACATGTTCCCCAGAGAGCACTACGATCGGGATCCCAAAATCGCCTGGCTCTGCCAGGCTCCAGAGAAGCCAGGCTGGCTGTGACGAGGGCCAGGACCTTTTCAGTGGCTGCTCTGCACTGGTGGAATGAGCTCCCAGAGGAGATCAGGGCCCTGCGGGACCTTTTAC